GGAGTTCCAAACAGGTTAGGAGGAGAATTACAATAATTAATACATTGTGTTCTTGCCTTTGTAGTAGTTATTCAGCGTACGTGATATAGGCATGATACCTTGTCCAAACAATATGAACAGAAACGTTTCTTTTCAATGAACTGAGAAGAACTAGCTGTATAACTATGTTAACTATCTTGTGTATAAGTATATTTTCCCCTTCTTTCTTTCCCATTTTCCTCATGTTTGTATTTTTCTTTGGACAGTGGCTTCCCAATTCACTGTATTTATTATGCCTTTTGGATCTTATTTATTTGCTCGTTTTTTCACACTAAGAGGAGCAATATGATGCTTATACATATAGGCCTGGTATATTTTACTCATGAGTACGGTCTCAAATTACCTCCATTTACCTATAAAAGCCGCCTTATTTGTGACTGAGTACTAGTACTCTATTAAGTAACAAACTACCATATCATTTTATCCATTCCTTGGTTGATGCACATTTGGGTTGTTTCTAAGATTTAACTATTACAAACTGTTCTGCCATAAATATGGGTACACGTATATTGTTGTGTTACAGTATTTTTAATTCTTCTGGGATGATACTGGCAGAGAAATAACTGGGTTGAATGGGACCTGTAAGCCTGCTTTTTAAAGGAATTTTCACACTGCTTGCTCCAGTCTACACTCCCACCAATAGTGAAGAGGCGTTCCTTTTTTCCCACAGCCCTGCTAGAATTTGTTGTCCATTGATATTTTTTTGATGACAACCATTCTTCTTGGGATGAGATGGAATCTCAGTGTTGTTTTAATTTGTATCTCTCAAAGGACCAATGATGTTGAACATTTTTTCATACATTTAATTGTATTTGTATTTCTTCATCTTCTGAGAAGTGTGTATTCATCTCAGATGCCCATTTTTGGATTTGAGTCTTAGAATTTTGAGAGGCTGATTATTAAAAAATTATTTAAATGTTTTACATATAAATCCTTTGTCTGAAGGATAACTCTCATTTTTCCTACTCTGTGGATTATCTTTTCACTCTGTTTGTCTTGTCTTTTCTTTTTTTGTGGGCAACTCAACCCATCAGCCCTTTGGAGTGAGGTGGGGCTGATACAGCATGCGCTGCCGGACAATCAAACAGTGGTTCCTGCCCTTGCCTAAGCAGGCACTTTAGACCACTGAGCTATCTCACCAGCCCCAGTATTTTTTTTCTTGTGCAAATGCTTTTTAATAAGGTGAGATCCCATTTGTTGATTCTTTGTAATATTTCCCTGGTAGTCTGGGTTTTGTTCATGAGCTCTCTGCCTACCCCTGTGTCTTCAAGATTTCTGACTACTTTCTCTTCCCATAAATTTAGTGATTCTGTTTTATTATTTAGATATTTGATCCATCTTCACTTTAATTCAGTGTATGGTAATAGACACTGGTCTAGTTTTAGTCTCCAGCATGTGGAGAGTCAGTTCTCCTAGCACTATTTATTAAAGAGGCTATCTTTCTTCTCTCAGGCTTATATTTGTTTGTTTGTTTTTTACCAATATCATGCTGATTTAAATATGGTAGCTGTGTTTTATTATTTGAGGTCTGGAATTGTGATACCCCCTGACTTGTCCTTGTTGCCCAGAATTTCTTTTGCTATTCTAGGACTCTTTGGGTTCCAAATAACTTTAAGGAATATTTTGTCCAAATCTGTGAAGTATTCTAATTGGTATTGCATTAAATCTATATAGCAGTTTTGGGAATATGGCCATTTTCACTATGTTGATTCTTCTAATCCAAGAACAAGCAACAGATTTTCATTTTCTGATATCCTCCTTGATCTCTTTTTTTTTTTGTTTTGAGAGTAATTCAATTTCCACTGCACAGATCTCTTACATCATTTGTTAGATTTGTTCTTGATTATTTGAAATTTTAGATGTTATTGTGAAGGGTGTTCCTTCCCTAATTTTTTTTTTCTGTGAGTTTGTTGCTTGTGTACAGGAATTCCACTCACTTTTCCATGTTGACTTTGTATCATGTTGCACTATTGAACTTGGATATTAATGTCCAAGATTTTGGTGGAGTTTTGCAGGTCTTCTATGTGGAGTATCATGTCATCTGTAAATAATGATAATTTAACTTCTTCCCCTCCTATCCTTATTCTTTTTATTTCTCTCTCTTGTTTAATTGCTCTAGCTAATGTTTCCAGAACTGTATTACATAAGAGTCATAATGCACATTGTTGTCTTCTTATGATTTGAGAGTGAAAGCTTTGCTTTTGATCAGTTAATATTATGTTAACTGATGTTGGTTTGTTGTAGATAACTTTTATAAAATTGAGGTAAAGACCATCTATTTCTATTTTCTGTAGGGTTTTTTTAATGAATAGATGTTGGACTTTGTCAAAAGAATTTTCTGCATCTATTGAGATGATCATGTGAATTTTGTCTTTGGCTCTGTGGATATGGTATATTACATTTATTGATCTGCATGTTGAACCATCCTTGTATTCCTGGGACAAAACCTATTTGGTCATGATAGATAACAT